TTGTAATATTTAGTAGCCTGCACTAAAAACAATTGCCAGCTAGATTCTAATTGGTTGCTTTGGGCAACATACCCATTCCTTTATATTCTATATATGATTCACATCGATTGCTCACATCACCAGAGACTTGTAATGAGATCTTGGTATCGTTTCTGACAGTGAATCCCCTAGGACTAACGCCTCAGCTCCCCTACTTATCCTTAAAACCACAAACAGTGTGAGGCCAGCTTCTCTATCTGATATATATTCTTCTTAAGTCAGAGACAATCCAGACCTCAGACACAGCCAAGGCTGTGGTCTGCTCTATTGATTGAGGTCTCTCTGTCTCCAGGCTGTAAAACAACCAAAACAGCGCCAAAGATTGACAGCTGCGCTGCCCCGCTACAACATGAAGAGGAGCATGTGGGTTGTGTATAATATAAAATATTTACAAGTGTCTGTATTAAAGCCAAGGCAGCTTGATGAAGAAATATTTGCTCCAAACATGTTAAAGCAAAAACCGAAAGCCTAGGCTTACCTGCTTAATATTTTATTCTGTTTTGAACTTTGTGTTTATTAACGTTATACAGTAATTTTATATTTGTAGCCCACACATAGTCTAAGAAATTTTCTTGACAAAACTGGATCTCACTACTAATCTTGTTTTGAAAAATGTGCAATGATACCACAGTACCAATTACAGTACCCTTATAAAAAAGAAACATGATCTTTTCACATTGGTGTACTGAGGTTTACAATGGCAGAAAGATCTTTCAAGTTATCCAAATGCTGAGCGCACATAAACTTTATGTAATTTTTACATGCATACAATTGTACAGCACTAATGCAGCCTAGTGGCTGCTAGGACACAGGTGGCCATTGCCACCTAGCGTCCTTCGTTGCTAGGATGCAGACGGCTCCTGCCTCCTAGCATTCTTCATTCTTCAGTATTTTTCATTGGTAGGAGACGGATGGCTATCTAGTGTCCTTCACTGTTAGGGGACAGGTGGCTAGTGCTGTCCTAGTGTCCTTCCCTGCCCTACATAACATTTTTGGTCCGCAAATACTTCAAAATGTTGTTTGCATTAAACATTGGACTTTGGAATTAATCTAATTTCCCAAACAAAAACAATTGAGTACTGTACGTGATACTTTTTTTATTTGCACTAACAAACAATTTTGAGGACAAGCTTGGAGTGTTCCCTTCTTCAGGTCCAGGCAGGACAAGACACTCCCCGAAACCTTGTCCTCAAAATTGTTTGTTAGTGCAAATAAAAAAGTATCACGGACAGTACTCAATTTTTTCTGCCGCAAATGCACTAATACGGCTACAATCACCTCAAGCCAAAAAAAAACCACATTCACTGTTGGAAGTCTTATTGTTTGATAAAAATTTACCATCATGCTCTTTCAAATTTGAGGTCCAAAACAAATGTCAATTTGACCCCACTAACAATTAAAAAAAACAAATGAATGCTCTAAAAATGAAACATTTCAAACTAAATTTTTACTAGTGTTTGGCTAGCTTAACTATCCAAAACAAAAATGTAGATGGGAGGAAGACACTGAGGGTGCTGTACAACTGGGAAGTAAACAAAGGACCCTTTTACTGGAGAACTGGTTTGCAATCTGCAAGAAATATTCAATTTATGAGCATTGCATGGCGTATCTCTGGATCCCACTTTGAAAAAACAGATTCGCTCATCACTTTCTACAAATTTGTACACAAGAAAAATAGATATATACAGCAAATATTGGACTTTTAAGCTCCCTGATACATAGACAAAAATATAGAGTTAAAATGGCTTTATTCAAGAAAATTCTTCAGTAAAAAAACATCAACATGAGATTGAAGAAAATCCTTAAAAAAAAAAAAAAAAACATCAGCAAGAGTTTGTATACATGATAGCGGTTGTAGACAACATCTTTATCAAATAATATCATCTAAACTGAATCACTTACATTGCATATACATATTATTATATTAATATATAATAACCCAGTACAGTATGTCCCATCATCCCATATCCTGTCTGCTTTTAGGTGATCCTTGAAAACTAATTTATTCGGAGAAGCCTACCCCATCTCCACCTAAAAATTTGCATTTGAGTCACCTCCATCAGATCATCCCCTTCAGTTATCATTGAACTGTGTTGTAATTGTAAATCATTCTACAGATTTTCAATGGGGTTTAAGTCTGGGCTCTGACTAGGTCATGCAAGAACCTTCACATTTTTCTCCTTCAGCCACTGTGCAGTCATTTTTGCTGTGTGCTTTTGGTCATTGTCATGTTGGAAGGTGAACCTTCTTCCCATTGACAATTTTCTGGCAGAGGGCAGCAGATTTTCCAAGAATTGATGTTTTTTTGCCTCATCCATTTTTCCTGCTGCAAAGAAACACCCGCATAACAGGGTATTATCACCTCCGTGCTTTACTGTAGGAATGGTGTTATTTGGATGGTGAGCTGTATTGGATTTCAGCCAGACATATTGTTTCGTGTTTAGGCCAGATAATTCAATTTCAGCCTTGTCTGACTATAACACCTTTTTCCATGTGGCCTCAGAATCTTCAAGGTGCGTTTTGGCAAAGCTCAGTTGTGACTGCATGTGGCCTTTCTTAAGAAGTGGCTTTTTTTCTTGCAAACCTCCCATATAGGCCACATTTGTGGAGAATTTGTGATATTGTTCTCACACACAAACAATATCCACTCTCTGTCATAAATTCCTGCAACTGCTTCAGAGTTGCTGTAGACCTCTTGGTAGCCTCTCTGACCAGTTTCTTCCTGGCTCTTTCATCCAGTTTGGAGCGATGTCCTGATCTAGGGAGGGTCTGTGTTGGACCAAATACTTTTCCCTTCTTTTAATAGATTTCACTATGCTTCTAGGCATTGATAAAGCCTTTGAAATTATTTTGTATCCATCTCCTAACTTGTACCTATCCACAACTTTATCCCGGACAGTGCCTTGCTGCCCATAGTTGATTGTTTGCTCCAGTTGCACTACCCAGGGACTGAAATGCTCCAGGAAAGATCTTTTCATGCTGAGCTAATCAAAATGACCACAGCTGATCACAGTTGAAAGTCAATTGGATTTTTGTGCCATTGAGAAGGTGATTAGCTACACCTGATTGAGTTTGCAAGTCATTTTTAGGAATAGGGTGATCCTTTTTCCAACCCAGTGATTCTGTTTTTTTTTTTTTACATGTTGGTGTTATATCTTTCACTTGGATGTTATAAGTTGCATACAGATAAATAAAACAAAAATCGTGTCTGTCTTCATTTCAGGCTGCAAAGCAACAAAAATGTGCTTATTTTACAGGGGCGTGATTCTTTTCTATACCCACTGTATATTGAATAATCTGTGTGCCCCTTGGGTGATGTCAGGGGCCACATTTGAGGCCCTCTTTATCTCATAAGTTGACAACTACTGATGTATAGGGATAACCACAAATGGGTGGGATTCTTCTGGATAGTGGGTAATTACTGTACAGCTGATTCAGTAAAAAAAATGAGCCCAGAGATGACAACTTGATAAAGAGTAAGTGTTCTCAAGCATCCCTGTGTCCAACTGAATCTCTACATGAATGACCCAGAAAATATAGCGCAGAATATATGAAAAAAATTCACACCCAAAACATTTTCCTGTAAACTCAGTAAAAACCTAAAACAGTACTTGACCAAAAAAAACGTAGGACTGTTTCCTCTTAAATCCACTGCTGGAAGATATTTTGATCCCTTGTTACAAAAATCATTTTTATTGAAAATCCTGTCACGCCTGTCATATTTATTGCAGCCCTGGCAACCAGAAACACCTTTTTTTCATTCGAGCTACGTTCTTGGCTCCCATGGCATGGTTTTAAAATCCTACTTGTTACATTACACTTTTGGTTAAAAGATTAATTTTTCCTCTTATTAACTTCAAAGGATGCCATTAAAATACTTTCTCTTCCCCCCTCCTATAAGCATGCTCATTACACTATCATTTTAAGTAATTAAATCAGAATAAGTGCTTCTGCAAATCTGTTTTAATGCATCGTCTAATTAAATCTGACCTAGACTGTGAACTGTAATCATTAGCTACGTGAACTGTGTAATGTTGTGCGGACGGTTTTAATCATTTATATAAAGCGTAATCGGACGGATAATGCTGTTCAGTATTTCAAAAACACCTGAAAAAAGGAAGAGTTTCTATGACTTAATTATTTTGCGCATGTTTGACGAAGTGGTGTCACTAAAGATATTACTGTGTTATACTGTAGATGAAAAAAAAATGAATGAAAGAAAAGACTAAGTGCCAGTTAACACCAGAATCTCATAGGAAGGAGCTCGGCATTCCTGTGCAAATCATGTGCAAATCACTGCTCTGTGAATTTTAGCCCATTAATTTGAATAGGCTGCAATCACGCTGGATCACACCAAAAGTACTGCATGCTCTACTTTTAAAAATGCATTGCAAAGGGATCGCTGGTACTGCGATATCATGTGATCTGGTGCAGTCAAACACACTGCATTTGCAATTTGCATTTGGGGGTGTCATTAGGACACCCAGACCAGATTGCACAGCCAGTTTGTTTAGAATGCGATGCATTCCGGTGTGAATGGGCACTGAAAGAATCTAAAGCTGCAATCAGCTAAATGCACAGTTGAAATACATATAGGAGCTGTCCATCCAGTTCTGACATTTACACAGCTCTGCTACATAGAACATCCTTATCTCGAAGTGCAGGAGACCTGATTTTTTTATTGCTGCACTATCTAAAGGCTTATATAGAACAGACTGTGAGCAGAAGGTATTATCTGCATACCAAACTGAAGAAATTGGATTCAACCAGGACTCATGGGTTTTTAATAACCATTTGGAAACTTGGGCACTGCCCGAGGGCCCGGGGTCAGTAGGGGGCCCCATGAGATGCCCCTGGTACTTTTTTCATAGGCTTGTTTGAGTTTGGGCAAGGACACAGGGGCCCCATGATCCCCTATTGCCCGGGGCCCCATGAGTTGTCAGTCCGCCCCTGATATGTACATGAGTCCTGGTTGAATCCACAACCAATTTCTTCAGTTTGGTAAGCATATAGGTGTTTGATTGGGGATTCCCGGACTGCTGCTTTTGAGACCTTAAGGCTCTCTTTTTCTGGGAGATTTTGCAGATAGGTATTGTTAGAGAGACATGCAATGTCTCTTCTGCAAAAAAATGCACCTACCTGCCTGCCTGTAGTCTTCCATGGCATGTAAACTGAGCTGCAACTCAGCTTACATCACCAGCACGGTCCCTATGTGCCGGGATTGCTGCCTCCTGTGCATACACAAGAGCTATGTCATCCTGCACTTGCCAATGGAAATGCCTGAAGACCAGCACCTGGGGAGAAGATGCCAGCACCAGTGAAGGACCTGGATCATTTCAGAAGCGGTAAGTTCAGTTAGGTTTTAAAGTGATACTAATGTCTTGTTTTTTTTTTTTTTTTAAATAACAAATATGTCGTACTTATCTGCTCTGTGCAGCAGTTTTGCACAGAGCAACCCAGATCCTCCGACCGGCGCTCCTTGCCCCTCCCTCTTTTTGGGTGCCCCCACATCAAGCAGCTTGCTATGGGGGCACCCGAGCAGGCGCGCTCCTGAGCCATTCACACGAGCAGCTGCATCGAAGCCTTACATCACCAAGTGCAATGCAAAGCATTGGATGCAGCAGTGTAAAGCATGCCGCCACTGGACTCTAGAGCGGTGGAGACGTGTTCTCTGGAGTAACGAATCACACTTCTCTGTCTGGCAAACCGATGGCCTTGTCTGGGTTTGGAGGTTGCCAGGAGAATAGTACTTGCCTGACTGCATTGTGCCCAGTGTAAAGTTTGGGGGAGGGTGGATTACGGTGTGGAGTTGTTTATCAGGGGTTGGGCTTGGCCCCCTAGTTCCAGTGAAGGGAACTCTTAAGGCATCAGCATACCAAGACATTTTGGACAATTTCATGCACCCAACTTTGTGGGAACAGTTTGGGGATGGTGGACCCTTCCTGTTTTCCTGTTCCAACATGACTGCGCACCAGTGCACAAAGCAAGGTCCATAAAGACACCGATGAGCGAGTTTGGGGTGGAGGAACTTGACTGGCTTGCACAGAATCCTGACCTCAACCTGATAGAACACCTTTGGGATGAATTAGAGCGGAGACTGTGAGCCAGGCCTCCTCCCCCGACATCAGTGCCTGACCTCACAAATGTGCTTCTGGAAGAATGGTCAAATCTTCTCATAGACACCCTTCTAAACCTTGTGGACCACCTTCCCAGAAGAGTTGAAGCTGTTACAGCTGCAAAGGGCGGGGCCAACTCAATATTGAACCCTACGGACTAAGACTGGGATGCCATTAAAGTTCATGTGCGTGTAAAGGCAGGCCGACCAATACTTTTGGCAATATAGTGTATTTCCTTGATTCAGCCAAGCCCAGATGGTGTTATTCAGAGATTTGGTCTGGGGAGATGATAATTATTTGGAAGTATCTTTCCAGACCTCTCTTTCCCCTGGGGTTTATCCCAGGGGAAGGCCTGTGTGTAGAATTCCTGTCTGGGTCTGGCCCCGCATGTGACAGGTGCTGGGGGCCCTGGAGACCAAGCTGCTAGCTGAGGTGCTTGCCTGAAGGGAGCTAGGTTAAACAGAGACACTCTGCCTGAAGAAGATCCCAGAGAAGCTGTTTCCTTGTCCTTGGGCTGGGGTTCTTCTTCAATGATGAACTCTAGGCAGGTATAAAAGACACAAATCAATGTAGTTCTAATTGGTAATACATTGCTAAATGTATTTTTTTTATGAAAGCAGTGCAAGTAGCTGAATATGACCTGTACCAGCCTCTTGCAGTACCTGTACAGCAGGTCTCCGACTGGGAGAGGAAGAAACAGCACAAGGAGATAATTAGTTTGTGTGCTGACATGATGACATGAGAAGAAAACAGAGAGACAGAAAGATGAGCTCATCACTGTGCTGCTTCTCCTTCACCGTGCAGTCACAATCTGGGGCGTGTCCATGACAGCCTGTGCACAGAGGACATGGGTGAAGTGATCCTGGTCCTTATTCAAACTAGACAGAAGACATCTAGTGGTAGGAAAGAGGTATTGCATGGGGTGGCGCTGGACTGAAGGTGAGTATTGCAGCAAACAGTTCTTGTTTTAATTGTAGTTTTTGTGGGCTATTTGCAAATTTTTTTTAACATTAATTTTGGCTGGAGTCTAGCATTACCAGAAAGCCTAATTACTCTTTCAGATGTGCAGCTATACTGCAGCCCCTCTGTAAAACGATCCACCATGAATCACTTTTTAGAGGGTGTTTGACAGATGGTAAAGAGGCAATATGTCGCCTCCAAGCTGCCTGCTTTAACCCTCAAAATGTCCAACCATCTCGACAAAACCACATGCACTGCATGCGGTTGCAGGGTGGTTGCGGTGCAACCCCATTTATTTGACTAGGTCACATTTGATGAAGGTACTGCCTGCCAAATGAGTCATGATAGGGCAGCACAGTGGCTAAATGGTTAGCACTTCCACCTGGCAGTACTAGTGTCGTTGGTCTGAGTCCCAGCCATGGCACCACCTGCCTGGAGTTTGTTCTCCCTGTGGCTGCGTGGGTTTCCTCCAGGTACTCTGGTTTCCTCCCACACTCCAAAGACATGCTGGTAGGTGAATTGGCTCCTGTCTAACTTGTCCCTAGTATGTGTATGTATGAATGTGAGTTAGGGACCTTAGATTGTACACCCCTTGAGGGTTAGAGACTGATGTGAATGCACAATATACAGTATATGTAAAGTGCTGTGCAGGGGGCGGACTGACAACTCAATGGCCCCTGGGCAATAGGGGATCATGGGGCCCCTGTGTCCTTGCCCAAACTCAAAAAGGCTTATGAAAAAGGTACCAGTGGCATCTCATGGGGCCCCCTACTGACCTCGGGCCCTCGGGCAGTGCCCGAGTTTCCAAATGGTCAGTCCGCCCCTGTAAACATTTAGTTTGCTAAAACACTGTCCATCATTAACAATTGCCTTTTTTTTCCATAGAAGACAAGAGGCATCGAACTCTAGAAATGCTGGTATGCCGCCCAGCAAGCTCCAGCAAATTTCTGCCATGACGGAGTAAACGACAAGCAGTGCGTTGTTCGCACAAGACGAAAAGCCCTCAATCGTAACCGTTCAGCGTTCCAAAGAACAGCACTTTTTTGTTTTTTTCCAAAAACGCTAAATGTTTTAATTCTAGGTGGATTATGTAAATGCCACAGCTCTGTCATGCTTTAATTTATTTTTCAGGAAGCTTTCTAGGATCTTTTATTACACGCTTCTTGGATATACGTCATAGCTCTTTGCCAAGTCTCTGCCAGGGCTGCTGAGCGATTGTGTCCCTGTCCTGTCTCCATAGCAACCAGAAAAGAGCTTTGGGTCTCTTGTATAAAATGTGTCTGAAGAGAAAAAAAAAACCTCTCTGTTGCTGATAGTAACCAGAATATTGATTATCCATTTTCAGCTTGCACTAGAATGTCAATGGGAGTCATCATTTCAGAATACATGAAGCCTTTGGTTGGTTAGATTTTTTTAACTCTTAAAGGTAAACTGAAGTTAAACATGAAAAATGGCAATGAAAGGGTCCACACCAAAAGTGATATTTGAGCTCATGGTGATTGCTGGTAATTCAAAATCCAGTTTAAGGAAAATGTTTAAAAAATGAGTGCCCAAAGTCTCCATTAAATGCAGCTTTGGCTGCAGCACTTGCCTTCAATCCAGAGCTGTCCCATGCAGTGTTAATTCTCCACCACAAGATGTCACCAGTCATCTAGGCTGGATGGCGGCCAGTGTCATTCCCGTAGCGTCCTGTAATGCCCTACAGGTTAGTTAGGGAGGTTTTTTTTTTTAGATACAGGCTGAGTAGCAGCCTGGGGGTGAGTCAGCTTGGGGAGTGAGGTAGTGAGGTTACCTCAGGACAAGCTGGGAGGCTCTAACAGGTCAGAGCTTCTGGAGCTCTACCACCCTTCCAGAAACCAGAGAGATTTCTGGAAGAGGGGTGGAGGAGGGGAAGAGGCTCAGATCTGTATGTTTGAGGAACTCTGGCCAATCCCCTGGCAGGAGGCTGGGCATGGTGACCAGGGCAACCATCAGATGTGGCATAGCCTGTGGGGTATTATGCAGTGTCGGTTGGAAGATGGATTAAGGAAGGCTGGAGTGTGGCGCCTGGGAAAGGGCCCCAGGGAGAGGGCCTACCTACAAGCAGTCTCCTGGGGAGGACAGTCTATGTAGCAGGATTAGAGCCAGCCCAGCGAAAGGCCTGAAGGCAGCCCACCAACCCTCTAAGCTGGCAGGAGAGGAGACCATACTCTTACACTCCCTGGGCCGGATAAGGGGAAAGGGCAGTTAGGTGCAAGACCCAACTAGCTTCTTATCTGGGACTGTCTAAACGAACATCTCTTGGCCCCCCTTGCCCAGGGAATACCCTCAGTGCAGCTCAGTGAAGAGGAGTGATCATCCATGGTCTGAGGAGGTACACTAAGAAAAGCCTTTAGTGCTCTGCAAGAAGAGACATTTGCCAACTGAATCTTTGTACATAGTTGCTAAGGAATTGTCCTCAAGTTGAACCTATACGGGGTTAACTGATCTTGCAACCCATAGTGATCTGCGAGATCAGCTTCAGTGGCTTGCAGCCTCTAAGGGGTTAACTGTGGCAGCTCTGTGCTAAAGTCGGAGATCGATGGTCCGCTTCTTCGGCCTGAAACCGGCACATGCGCAGTTGCTTCAGGGGATACATATCCTCACGGGATACTAATTTTACCGCTACACTGGGGGCAGCTGTCACTGTGCTGGGAATCCGGGATCACCCCAATAACTGGCCAGGACCTTCACAGAGCCCAGAAGCTCTGCTGGCATCCTGCTCCTGCACCCCCTGGGATGGTGTCACCTGGTGCGGCCAGCACCCCCCGCACATCCCTAGGGACGCCACTGGCCCCGATCAAATTTCCCCTTACATATGCCTCCCCATTAGAGTCCGCCACCATAAAAGGGACCCCATCAGAGTTCTTCTTACATAAGAGCTCCCCTTACATCAGCATCCTGATCAAAGTCCCGCTTACATCAGAGTATCATCTGCATCAGGGTCCCCGGGAAACATGGGGGAGGGGAGTTGAAGTGGAGACCAT